CTGGGGTTAAAGAAAAGAAAGAAGTCAAAAACAATTTTAAACTCTGCGTATTGTGGTGAAATAAAGAATGCAGATAAGATAAAAGACTTTGTTTGTGTGGGTTGAGGGAGAGACCCTGTGGGAGATCTGGCAAAAGGGCAAGCAAAATTAAGGGTGGGTCTGAAGACAGACCTGCTTGCCTAGCCACCTGGTCTGCCCTGGAATTTCCCACTGTGACAGGAGGAGATTGGTGTGACCGACAATGGACTATGCTGATCTTGGAGGGCAATAAAGATGCCCGTAAAAGTTGGGAAATTAATCTGGAATTGGTGATTGTGACACCTTTTGTGTTCAGTAAACCCCTCTCCTTCCAAATTGCTGCATGTGATAAAATCATGTGGAAAACATATTTAGAATCAGTGTATAACATAAGGTATTTGTCTGCCGATAATTCAAAAGCCCAAATAACTGCAATGAGCTTCACCTGTTGGTTGGTAGTGTTTGGTGGCAGAGGTCTGGCCTCAATGATGTGAGTGGGAGATACGATCACATATCCTGCCTTTTGTTTCCCCTCAAACCAAAAGGAACTGCCATCTGTGAACCAGGTATTGGCGGGGTTATCTAGAGGGCCCTCGGAAATGTGAGAGGGGCAAGGAAGGAGGGCTTCTAATGACTTGAGGCAATGGTGGAAAGGGGTCCCTTCTGAAATGGGCAAAAGGGAAGCGGGGTGTAAACGGGCACAAGTCTGAAACGTTATAGAGGGGTCTGAGTGAAAGCGACAAGGAGGGATAAAATCCAGCAGGGCGGGAGGGTTTGTAATCCCTTGTAAGTCAGGAGGTCTTTTAAATGATGGGGCGAAACTATAGTGGTGGGGCTACCAAATGTGAGCTTTTTTGCCTCCCAGAGGAGAGCATGGGCAGTGGCCAGTGCCCTAAGACAGGGGGCGCAGCCACGGACTGTGGGGTCAAGCTTCTTGGATAAATAGGCTACAGGGGCGAAAGTGGGTCCTTGCTGTTGTCCAAGTACACCTAGTCCGAAACCTTTATTCTCATGAACATATAAAAAAAAGGGATGTTGCATATCAGGTAAATGTAGGGCTGGCACTGTGGTAAGGGCTCGTTTGAGGCCCTCAAAAGAGGACTCGATGGAGTCCTTTAAGGGTTCAGTTGGATCTCCTTTGGAGGCTTCATATAAGGATTTGGCCAAAAGGGAGTAATTTGGAGTCCAAGCCCAAAAATAGCCTGCAAGGCCCAAAAAGGACTATTTCATCTTTAGACTTGGGGATGGGTGGCTCCTGGAGGTGCTGTTTTCGATCTGTTGTAATAGCTTTGGATCCATGTGATATTTGGACCCCCAGATATTTAACTGAAGGTTTGGAAGCCTGGATTTTGTGAGAGGATACCCGGTATCCTTTATTTGACAAAAAACTGAGGAGGAAAACAGTGTCGGTTTCGGATGTGGGGTAAGAAGGGCTGCATAAAAGGAGGTCTTCGACATACTGGAGGAGGGAAGAATGAGTGAAAGTTAAATCATGGAGGTCTGCTGGTAGAGCCTGCCTGAATAGGTGAGAGCTGTTGCAGAAGCCTTGTGGTAGGACTGTCCAAGTGAACTGTTGAGAGTGATGGGACTGAGGATTGGTCCAAGTGAATGCGAAAAGATTTGGGGAATCTGGGTGTAAAGGAATGGTGAAAAAAGCATCTTTCAAATCTATAAAGGACAGCCTGGGCCCCGATCACCTGGGCCGGGTTGGTCTGATGGACCTCATCTCCATAGGATCAGGCCCCTTGCCAGATCTGCCTACGTTCCTCTGGCAATAGGGTGTTTGTGAGAATAGTGTAGGCATCATGAAAAGTTCAACTGTAAGCCTGGCATGAAAAGTTAAACTGTAAGCCTGGCAGAGATACTGAAACTCTTTAGTATAAGAAACAGGGTTAGTTGTGTATGAATCTAAGCACTTTTCAATTTGGGAAATATCAGTCATGGAAAAAGGGACGTGAACCCTAACAATACCTTCTGCGCAGGCCACCTCACGGAGTGTGGCCAAGAGTGGCGCCTGAGTTGCGGGAGTGGGTTGGGCTTCATGGGCTCCAGAGCAAGTAAAAGGCGGGCTGGATGGGTGTGGTAGCAAAGGGGGAGCGGGAGGCGTGGGAGGCACTGAGGGTTGGGGTGGTGGCGGAAGGGTGCGCTGCTGGTACGGAGGGGGTTCATCTGCCAGGTGGAAGTCGGACGAAGTAGGAACAGAGGCGGGTGGGGAAGGCTTGTAGGCTAATAAAACCTGTTCTGGACTGCAAGGGGTGCATAAGGCAGGATTTGACCGAAGGTAAGAAAAAGCCTGAACATAAGGGATTTGGGCCTGTTTTCCTGATCGTTAACAAAAGTTTTATAAGTCCCGAAGAATATCGGGCTTTAGAGACCCAAAAGGGAGCCGCTTATTTTGATTGTCTAAATCATAGGCTGGCCACTCTTTGGTAGAAAGCCTGATGAGCCTTTTTGGCTTAATGTCTGGGACCACGCCCAAAGTTTTGAAGTTATGGAGGAGGCATTTTAGAGGGGAATCAGCCGGGAGAGATGAAGCACCCCCAATGATACAGGGAGGAGGGAGTACCATGGCCGAAGGGGCATCCCCGCTTTGGATGGAGTACTGAGAAATCTCAAACCCCGGAAGCGGTCGTCACCGGTTTCCTGGTGGTTGAGGGACACAAAGGGTCGTAGAGCTGAGGGGCACCCAGCACCGGGACTCGCGAGTGCCTATTGGCAGAAACAAAAGCCCCACAGCGAGCGAGAGGGAGTGGGAAGGGGTAACCTCTCGCCTTGGCCGAGTCCCGGGGGGAGAGAGAGAGAGAGAGAGATGTGAAACCAGTTTCCTAGAAACTCACCAAGTGGAAGGCCGGTGGTGGATGCACTGGTGGCAGTTGGGAAGAAGGGCTGGGCTGAGTGTCATCACTGGAGTGGGCTCCAGGCCATGGGCAGAGAAACGGATGTGGTCCCACTAGAGGTGGGGAAGCCAATCCGAGTCACGGCACCAATGAAAGGAGAAAAAAAAAAAAAAAAAAAAAAACCGGCCCGTACGCAAAAGAAACACACCAGGAGACAGGGACTCAACCAAAGTATTAGGCAGGCAAAATGAACAAGCGGGCTGCCCTCTGGAGAGTGGGAGCAGCAGCAGGGAGAGTCGGGGTGGGCCTTTCATATCCCGTTAGGCTGAGCTGGACTGTTCTTCCCTGTAGGTGGACAAATTCGCACGCGTGCGGGAAGGGGATGTGGTGCTGAGGAAGAAAGCGGGGGCGGTCTTTGTTCTGGAAAATGTGCTGTTCTAGGGACCTGAAACTTTCTGCAGCCATTTTGGGTGTTCTTCCTCTCCACCCGCTGCCATTTTTGGACTGATGTTGGTCATAACATAATTGGCTAAGAGTATCATTTAAACTTTCCTATTATCTCATAAACATTTAAAAGTGGTTGTTTAAACTAGGTTCCAAACAAGGTCCATATATTATATTGATTGATATATCTTTTAGATATGTTTTAATCTATAGCTCCCCCCTCAATTTTTTTTCTTGAAAGAATTTTGTAGAATTTCTCTCATTTTGGATTTGACTGATTATATCCTTCTTTTGTCTTTTAACATTTACCTCTATCCCTTCTGTTTCCTATAAATTGCTACTTAGATGTAGAGCCTTGATCAGATTCAGATTTTATATTTTTGTCAGGAATATTTCGTATAAGGTAGTGTGTGCTTTCAGCTGCATCACATTGTGGAGGCACTTGATGTCTAGTTGGCTCTTAGTGATGTTGAAGTTGGTCAGTGGGTTCAGGCCTTGTCCACCTTATAAAGTGTTCACATCAGCTTTTCACCTAAAGATTTTGGCTGCCATTGATGATCATTGCCTAGATCCATTATTTTTGTTTTCTGGTAAAAGGACTACTTCTATCTGTATAACAGTCAGCCCAGAAGTATATTCAAGAAAAACAACTGAAAGCTTGATATTCAAGACTCTCCAACAGCTTGGTGCATTTTCTCTCTTCAGCCTTTTTATCCTCTATTACTCTGTAATACCGGGATATTACAGAACTTTGACTTGTCTTTGGACCCCAAAAGACACTAAATTCACACTTCCAGTCTTTCATAATGTACTCCCAGCATGAAATGCTCACTCTACTCTCTGGAAATCCAGTTCTTTTGATGCTTGCCTTAAGTTTCCATGAGGTTTCTAATTTCTCTAGCCAGAAACAATCTCTTTTGAACTCTTGAGGCATTTTTTAAGCCACATTTTACCATTTTATTATTTAAGTGGCACAAATGATGTTATTAGATATGCCTAGTATTGTGACCACTTGTGTTCAGGTGTAAGGACCTTAGTTTAATGTAAGCTCCTTGAGGGCAGGGACTGCCTCATGTATTTTACTGTCTGGTTTCTAACTTAAAGCCTTAAGAACTTGCTAGGTGTCTCTCCATAAGTAGTCTATGAACTTGTTGAGGGCAGGGACTATAGTTTAATGGCATTTGTGATGGCAGTGCTAAGCATCTAGAAGGTACTCATTAAATATTTGTTGGGTAAGCTTGTGAATTTGTATGAGAAAGCTTGTTCATGATAAATGTGTGGATTTTTGTGAAGGGCTATTTAATCATTGTAAAAGAAAAAAATTTTCCCTAGATGTTTAATTTTCCCTAATTTATATAATCTGTGTCCATTTTTTTATATTCTGGATCCTTTCACAACATATTATCCTCTTTAATTTAATTGTTCTTTTTTCTTTTACCAAAACTGGTTCATAAATAAATGATTGTTTATCCCAAGTAAGTGACAATTTCATGCATTAGCTCAGATGCCAAAAAAATCCAAAGAAAAAGAAAATAAAAAGATAATTTAAAATATGTTGTCTTTTTTATGGCTTTGTACATTTGACTTTTTTTGTTTTTCTTCTAATGATAATTTAGAAATTAAGTTACACTAACTGCTTTTACTTGTTAAAACATGTATTTAGGGATTACTGTGATAAATTTAGTATTTACTTCCTTTCAGCCTGCTTGAATTTCCTGAAGTTGTGCAAAATAAAATACTACAATTATTGCCTTATTCACAATGTACAGGTGAGTTGGTGCATGTTAGTCATGTTCTTTTGTTGTTGGAACCATCTAGCAAACTCTAAATTAACAAAGGATCTATATTACAGAGGGATTTTATCATACAAACTGGTGATCCTACAGGGACTGGTCGTGGAGGAGAGTCTATTTTTGGGTAAGTTCTTTTTGTTTTTTAATTTTTTCGTCAGCTGGCTGGTATAAGGATCTGAACCCTTGACCTTGGTGTTATCAATACTGTTCTCTAACCTACTGAGCTAATTGACCAGCCTAGTTCTTTTATTTTTAAATGAGGGATAGTAGAACTGCTTATGTTTCAATCTGCATTTTTAAATATGGTTCAAATGTAGGTTCTCCCCTCCTCCAAGTTCCCTAAATGTCTATAGTAAAAAAGAAGAATATTTTGAATCATAGTGGCACTTCTATATAGAAATAGTTGGTAACCCTCTATGTTACTAGTACTTCTGTATTTTATTTTGAGAGTACTTATATTTTATAACCTTATTATATGTATTTTCAGTCAACTGTATGGTGATCAAGCAAGCTTTTTTGAGGCAGAAAAAGTGCCAAGAATTAAGCACAAGAAGAAAGGCACTGTGTCCATGGTGAACAATGGCAGTGATCAGCATGGATCTCAGGTTAGGAATGGGTGAGAAGATGAGCTTTGCTTAGAACTGAAGGACTGGAAGGAGTCCACAAGTTACCTTTTTAAACTATCCAGTAAGGAGAGAATTTCAACCGAAGATATTTGTTAGGAGAAAAAAATTGCACTTTTTCACCTATTAAAAAAACATTATTTTGTTCTTTGAAATGAGAGGCATGCCCATTGTGAGGAATTTAGAAAATACAGAAAAATGCAAAGAAGAAATTAACATTACCCACAAACCTACCACTTGTGATTATCACTGTTTACATTTGTGGCCTGTTTCCTTTCAGTACTTATTACTTCTTTTAAAATGGATTATATTGAGTACCTTCCATTCATTGTCTTGTTTAATCCTCACAACAACCCCATTAGGGTAGGTGCTTTTATTTTCCACTGTTACACATGAAGGAATGGAGCCATAGTTTGTCCAAGTATTTTAAACAACCAGGGGAATGTCTGTGTATGTGTTGATATTTTATGATTTTATGTATAAGTTTTGTACTTTTTACTAAGTTCTAGTAACAAGTGTGTGAAAATTGCTACAGTAAATGTGGAGTCTTTTTTGTATTTGTCAGTCTGTAACTGATTTCAGTTTGAGATATATATACAAATATATAATGTATAATATATATGTATTTTAATTTATTATGTGTCTTTCCATGTAGTTTCTTATCACTACAGGAGAAAATCTAGATTACCTCGATGGTGTTCATACAGTGTTCGGTGAGGTGACAGAAGGCATGGACATAATTAAGAAAATTAATGAGACCTTTGTTGACAAGGACTTTGTACCATATCAAGATATCAGGTGTGGTTATAATTTACTATCTGCGTGTACTAGAATGTTTGGTACTGTGATGCTTGACATGTAGTGGTATGAATACGACAGGTATGCATGTAACTGGTTTCTGTATAATTCCAAAATATGAATTAATATAAGATTATAAGAATCCTTATATTAAAAAGGTTCTTTTGTACTTTTATACATGTACTAATTATTTATAATTGCTTATGTTATGAGGAATTATTAATACTTAATTTAGTTTTTTTAAAATGCAGATTATTGAGAAATAGGGCAAAAGTATTAAGATTTAGGCATTTATATTCACATCTTAAAGTATTCAGAGCAGTAAACATGGTATCAAACAATGGAAAAGAGTCACTCTCAGTTTGAAAGTGTATTCTATATTACCAATATCCTTGGTGTAATATGTTTTTTTCCCGGCATTAGACATACTTAAGTTATTTGTTATTATCTATGAAAATAAAGTATGGATTCTGAAATAAATCTAACACTTGACTTTGATTTATTTTATAAGGATAAATCATACAGTGATTCTGGATGATCCATTTGATGACCCTCCTGATTTATTAATTCCTGATCGATCACCAGAACCCACAAGGGAGCAATTAGATGTAAGTAGAGCCTTCTTGTGATTGAACGTACATGCATATTAATGATTTGCATGGATTTAGCTTTCTAGTCTATTAAAACTTACTTCTTCAGAATGATTATCTTGCTTGATCAATTATACTATAACAGGTTTAGAATTATTTTTCTTTTCCACAGAGATACTCATTTTTCTAGCTAGCTGTCTTTTCGTTTCCCTAATTTCCTTTCTTCAGTTTCTGTTCCATCAAAACAGCCTTAGCTGTAGAAGCTTATATGAACACCTAGGGAAAATGTTTTTCTTGTCACCTCACCCTAGTTAGGAGTATAGCTTCAAGGCCAAATTAAACTATCATCTTGTGAGGAAACTTTTCAACTGGGGATATTCTGGAGCTAGGCTAGAACCCAGAAATTCTGGTGGAACAGCAAAGGCTTTTCCCCCAGATATTTTAAGGTATAAATTTCTGTTTATGACGCTTCCTCACAGCCAAGTTTATCTTTATGTTTCCGTTTGGTGCTTAATTTTATAATATTTATCTTCTCCATTCAGCACTTAGTTGGATAACAGGTTATTTTCTATATAAATGTTTATTTTGATTTTATAGTAAATCAGAAGCCCAATGTGGCTAATATTATAGAGTTAATTTAAATCAATTTTCATAGGTTTGTAAGTTTGTTTCAGTTGCTCTTCTAACACTTTTGATGGAACTAAGAGTAAAGCATAATTAATGCCTTACATATTTCTCAGATTTTTTATCAGTAACTTCTGCCTTTGCAGAGTGGTCGAATAGGAGCAGATGAAGAAATTGATGATTTCAAAGGAAGATCAGCTGAAGAAATAGAAGAAATAAAGGCAGAAAAAGAAGCCAAAACTCAAGCTATTCTTTTAGAGATGGTAAGATGATTCTTTGTTTAAATAGTTGTTCTGCAATATATTTTAATATATACTTGTTGTGAGTTTATTTCTGGTTCTTTGATCATCTTTAAATTGTTAGATATTTAGGTAATAACTTCTTTCTCGATTAAATTTTGTATGATAAATATTAATTGCATTTCAATTGTTTAATATTTGTGTCATTTTTAAAGAGTATTTAATAGACTTAATTATATTTATCTTAAAGAGTAATTCTTCATTGTACCACTCGAATGCTGAGATTAAATAGAAGAATAGTAGTCGAAGGGTAAAACAAACCTGGGTGGAAACTGAGCTGAAGTCATTTGGGGAACAGTTATTCAGTAGATGATTAATTGACCTACTAGGTATTTTTTTCTGTTTCTTGTTTTTGTGGAATAGGTGTATTTATCACATAGTCAATAATCAGTAAGTATTTGAATGAATGGATAATAAAATCTTAATTATTTTATATAATAGAGCTTTCAGGTTGTTGTCTATTTTAAAATTTATGTCAGCATCGCCAATCTGAATGAACAAATATTAAAGGCTGTAATTCAAGAAAATTTTACTGAAATAAAATTTGAAAATACATATTTTAATGAGAACATGAGCACACTGTGTATCTGAGAATATTGACCAAGAACAGCCAACACCAAGACAAATTCTAAGAAAATTATGGGACTTAAAGATTTTTTGAGCAACTGGGCAAAAAGAGTAAGTGACTTATAAGGCAAAGAACGTTAGATTATTATTAGACTTTTTAACAGCAAAAATTTAGGAAGTTTTTGCCAGAAGAAAGTGGATTAACATATTTTTTAAACTTTGTTTTCAGATAACTTCAAGCTTATGGAAAAAATAGTGCAGGAAACTTATTATATACCTTTTACACAGATTCACCAATTTTTAACATTTTGCTACATCTGTTTTATCATTTTCTCTTTCTTTGTCTGATCATCTGTGCACTTAAACACACATTATTTTTTCTGTACTGTCTGAAAGTAAGTTGCTTATAATTCCCTTTTATTTCTTAATCAGCACATATTTCCTAAGAACAATATTACATCCTACATAGTCACAGTACAGTTGCTAAAATCAGAAATTTAAAATTGAGTCATTACAGCCCATATTCCAATTTTGCCAGTTGTTTCAATAATATTTATAGTATTTTTCTCCGACAGTCTAGAATCCAGCTCATGATTGATTATTGCATTTAGTTGTTATGTCTTTTTAGTCTCTTTAATCTGGATGATTTCCTTAATCTGTCTTTATTTTCATGACTTAACATTTTTATTTATTTATTTACCAAAGGCATTTTTGAAGAATATAGGTGAAAGGAAAAGCCCCGGCCTGAGCGTGAAAATAAAACACACCAGGAGACAGGGACTCAACCAAAGTGTATTAGGCAGGCAAAATGAACAAGCAGGCTGCCCTCTGGGAAGTGGGAGCAGCAGTAGGGAGAGTTGGGGTGGGCCTTTTATATCTAGTTAGGCTGAGCTGGACTGGTCCTATGGGCTAGGAAGGAAGGGGAACGGAGCGAGCGGGGTTTAAGCTGAGTTGGGAAATTTGCATGCATGGGAAGGGGATGTGGTAGTGAGGAAGAAGGTGGGGGAGGGGTCTTTGTTCTCAGAAAATGTGCTGTTTTAGGGACCTGAAACTTTCCGCAGCCATTTTGGGTGTTCCTCCTGTCCACCCACTGCCGTCTTAGACATTGGCTAAAACATAATTGCCTAACAATAGGTAATTTATTTTATAGAATATTCTTCAATTTAGGTTTATCTACTTTTGCCTCATGATTAGATATACCCACAGCAAAAGTAATACATGAGTGATGTTGTGTCCTTCTCACATGTCCCATCGGGAGGCTTAAAATATCCATTGCCCCTCATTGGAAGATGGTAATTTTGATCACTTCTGTTTTTCCCCTTAGAACCAATGAACAATCTGTGGCAAGACAGTTTGAGACCTTTCAAATATCTTGTCCTTTGTTGAACTTTCCCTCTAGATTTCGCAGGCATTCATGATTCTTACCTGAACCAATCTTGACTCTGATGGGTGCAAAGCTGTAAATTTCAAACTCTACCCTTCCACAATTATCAGCCTGCATTCTACTGTAAGGAAGAGCCTTTCTTTCTTATCTGCTTGTCTATTATCAGTGTGGACTCATGGATTCTTTTTTGTTTTGTTCTTAATAAACTATTTTTAGAGTAGTTTTAGGTTTATAGAAAAATTGAACAGAACGTACAGAGAGTTCCTGTGTACTCCTTCCCTCTTTCTCCCAGTTTTCTCCATTATTAACATTTTTTATTAGTGTTTAACATTTGTTATAGTTGATGAGCCAATATTGATACATTATTAACTAAAATCCATAGTTTACATTAGGATTCACTTGGTGTTGTACATTCTGTGGAATTGACAAATGTATCATAACAGGTATCCACTGTTACAAGATCATACAGAATAGTTTCACTGCCCTCAAATCCCCTGTGCTCTACCTGTTCATCCCGCCTACCCCTCGTCCCTGGCAACCACTGATCTTTTTTACTATCTACGTAGTTTTGCCTTTTCAAAAATGTCATATAGTTGGAATTATATGGTATGTAGTCTCTTTAGACTGGCTTCTTTCACTTAGCAATATGCATTTAAAATTCCACCATGTCTTTTTGTGCTTGATAGCTCATTTCTTTTGATCACTAAATAATATTCCATTGTACAGATGTACCACAGTGTGCTTATTCATTCACCTATTAAAAGATAATCTTGGTTACTTTCAAGTTTTAGCAGTTATGAATTAAGCTACTATAAACATTTGTGTGCAGATCTTTGTGTAGACATAAGTTTTCAATGTGTTTGGGTAAATACTTAGGAGCACAGTTGCTGGATTGTATGGTTTAGCTTTGTAAGAAACTGTTATACTGTCTTCTAAAGTGGCTGTACATTTTGCATTCCTACCAGCGGTGAATGAGAGTTCTTGTTGCTCCACATCCTTGGCAGCATTTTGTGTTGTTATTGTTTTGGATTTTAGCCATTTGAATAGGTGATCCTGTGTCCTTTTGATATTCACTGTTAATGGGTTTCATCTTCTGTTTTCTGAAACCATCAGTTTCTCTTACTTTATTTGTATTTGTCTGTAATATGATAATTCAACTAGTGTTTTGTAGTATTATTTTTTAACCTCATAGTTGTTATGAATACTTTAAATTTCCTTACAGTATTTTAAAGTTAGCTTTGACTAAGTAGTATAGCAAGTTCTTTTTTAACTCATTAACTTTTTTTCTCATTTGTGCTTTCTTTCTGCCATTACAAGTGCTTTTGAGAACTTGTATTGATTTCCTCTTCCCATTCTGTGTTGTGATACTTCTTATTGGACATAGATTATTGTTGTCTTTTGATTGACTTCAGAAACATGGAACAGATCTTACTGGCACTGTTGCTCCTTATTGTTTCTGATTTTCAAGATTTTTTTGGTGTGTTTATCCAAGAGAAGACACTTTACATGATAATCATATCAGAAATCATCTCTGAGTTTTTTTGAATATATGTATAAAGGAATATTTTGCCCCATCTGAAGACTCATGGTAAATACGAGGATACTTGAAAAAGTTTGTGGAAAAATTGAACTAAAAGATAATAGAAATCTTTCCATGAACTTTTTGAAATACTCTTGTGTAGTTTTTCCACAGTGAAGCCAGTACCATTATCATGGTTCTTTCTTACTGTCACCCTTAGTGGTTCTTCAGTAGGAAGTGACAGGCTCAGTTTAGTGCACTTGTTGACTGTGAAGTTGACTTCAGTTTAGCTCAAGTAGAAGGCCAAAGGGTGAGAGTGAGAGAAAAAGCTAGAAACACTATCCAAGAATTGTTGCTGTTCAATAGTCAACAATAATGTAGAAGGAATTGGGCATTACAAATTGCAGAAGGCTAGCTTCAGTATGATAATATTTTTCAAAATTTTAAAAACTAGCAAAACTAATATATTTCCTAGGGATGCATTCATATGTGGTAGAACTCTAAAGACATGCAAGAGAATGACCAAAAAGGAAAACCAAGGAGCAAGATATTTATTATCTCTGATGAGAGAGGAAGAAGGGTAATGGGATTAGGGGACATTTTCATTCTTAAGCTAGGTGGTAGCATCATGGGTGGTTTTTATTTTCATGCTTCATAACTTAGATATACTTTACATAAATAATTCTCCTTTTTTTAGTATAACAATACTTAAAAAAAGAAAAATTGGTGGTAAAATCGGGGCTTGGAAGCCAGCTAGAACTGGGTTCAAATCTCAGCCCTATTGTTTACTACTGCATGGCTTTGGACAAGTTACTTGTTTAACATTTTTGAATTTCTCTTATCTCTAAAGTGAAAATTGCAGTATTGTTTTAAGAATTAGCAGTATTATATTTGAAGTGTCAAGCACAGTGTTCATACAAAGTATGAGTCAAGTAAATATTAGCTATTAATATTGAGAATACTAGGCACAGTGTAGTTTGAAATTTTGAAATCTTATTTAGATTTCTTTTCCTGAGCCTGCAGTTTATAATGTGAATTTAGGTGTTTTAGGGAAATCAGCATTGTGAGCTTGGATAGGGTATTTAGGATAGAAACCAAATAAAGGAATTGATTTATGTTCTTGTTTATTTATAACTTAGGTGGGAGATCTACCTGATGCAGATATTAAACCTCCTGAAAATGTGCTATTTGTGTGTAAATTGAATCCAGTAACCACAGATGAGGATCTGGAAATAATATTCTCAAGATTTGGGCCAATAAGAAGGTAATCACTAGATTGTGAAAGAGAAATTTAGAGGAATTAGATTTTAGTTGGTGGTTTTCTGATGACATTTATTGTGAGTCTGTGAACTCTGAGTGAATTTTAAACTGGTGAATTTTTACAGGTGAGTCTTTGGACAGTATGGAAGAAAAGTTTGTGTGTGTGTGTGTGTGTGTGTGTGTGTGTACGTGTACGTGTGTGTATACATAGATAAATAATTGAATGATTTTCCCACTCCCAACATAAACATTGTCACTCTAAAACAGGAAATGAATGGAGCAGTCTAAGCCTGGTTCTGTAATATTCTTAACAACCTTCTTTAACATTTGAAATATTTATCTCTTTTAATTAATCTCTCAATTATCAGCAATATATATCAAAATTAATTTAAATCTAAATTTTCCAAAATTTTTCTTTTGGTTTATTTTCTTCTGCATTATTAATACAAAAGTTTATGAAGCTAGTATTCTATGAGTAAGGAGGCTATTTGTAATTGAATAACAAGTATTATGTTTAAGATTTCCATTTATATAATGTTTTCAAAATGAGACTTATGATATATGGGGACAGGGACAAGACAGGCACTTTCAACTCCAGTTTATTGGTCCTTTCACTTGGTTATTACAGTAGATTAGTTCTGTGTAATAGCTATACTTCCAGTGTTAAATTTGAGCATGGTTTATATTAAAATACAAAAATTCCAAAGCATGAGCTAATTAAGCATTTATATATGATGGTACTTCAAAAAGTTTGTGGAAAAATAGGATTAAAAGATAATACAAATCTTTCCATGAACTTTTTGAAGTTCCCTCATATGTATAGATGTTCAAACATTATATTACAGTAACATTAGATATTCTATAATTTATATTTAGACTAGAAATGCGTTATGATTTTTAAAAATTTTTAGTAGTAACCTACTTTTGCCAAAAGAAAATTAAATATTTTTATTTTATTCTTCTTTCAGCGCTTGGGGAATTTAGGACTGTAGGCCTAGGTAGGACATTTAGAGTAGAATTAAGGTTATTTAGTTACTGGATTGGTAAATTATTTTTTAGAAAAGAATTGCTGTTGAAATATAATTCTGTGAGTTTAACCTTGCCTTTTAATAACTGGCTTATTTTGTTCATTAGTTTTGAAAAGTGAGAGTGAATACTTTTTTTTTTTTCAATCTTTTGTTGTTCTTGTTGTTGGCTAGCCAGTACAGGGATTGAACCCTGGACCTTGGTGTTATCAGCGCCATGGTCTAACCAGCCAGCCCTGCTTTCTTTTTTTTAAGTCACTTCAAAACTTTCTTTCAGTTGTGAGGTTATCCGCGATTGGAAGACAGGAGAGTCCCTCTGTTATGCTTTTATTGAATTTGAAAAGGTATGTCATAAGATGAATATATTATTTGGTGTTTATTTTGTCTTTATATGGTATTAAATGTGAAAAATTACAGAAGTTTTTCTAGTTTTTAGGATTGCCCTTTCTTTAGGCACCCAAGAAAATTAACTTTATTGTATTCAAGTAGGGGATAAATTCAATAATATACATATATATCTTTACTTTAGGTTCAGCTACAGTCTGCATGAATGTATCTTTAGAACTTTTCAAGTTTTAAATAAAATTCTTCACAGACTATTAGTGATTTTTCAGTATTACTTAGTTGGAGATATAATTAAATAATAGAGAACTGGACTGGGTGTTAGGATCTAGATATTAATCCAAGCTCTGTCACTGGCCACCTATTGTATGGTATTTGATAGTTTATAATTTCAGTGATGGAATGATACCTGCCCAAGTATAAACAATCAGATTCATCAAACAGACATTGATTGGCTCCCATGTGCCAGATGATGTTCTAAGTGATATAGATACAAAGTTGAATAAAGGTTTGTCTGTATCTTCATGGAATTTATAATCTATTAAATTCTTGACACACATGGGAAATAAATATGATTATAACTAGTTTTTAAAATCTGCTTCTCTTCAAATTGTGTCTAGCAAGGTGTGAGCAGACTAAAGAATAAGATTCTAGGGATATAGAAGGAAATTGATTAGTGCTGAGTTGAAAAGTGTCATTCTAGTCTTCAGATGTCAGAAACAGATTTAGAATTTGTGGTTACTGACAGGAAGTGTTCTTGTGCGGCATAGACCTTGGCATTATAGACCTATAAGCGATTATACAAAACCCTTATAAATAGCTGTGCTTTCAAATTTAGAATTTTTCAGAATTTAGAAAGGTATACTGTGTGCGTGTGTGCACACACATACACATTACGTCTATGGATTATGTAATACTCATCTATGTCAGCATTCCATAATCACAAAAATATTTCTTCAGTGATATGAATAAAGATATAAATGGATAAAAAAATAGGTCATAGCCTCCTGTTAGGTCTGGTGTTACTGCCAAATTAATTTTTACACCAAATTTATGAAAACACTTTCACTTTTCAGGATATTTTGAGGTTTTGAGTAAAAAGGACTGTGGATTTGTATAACACGATTAATAAGTGTATGTATGTCCACTGCAAACAGACAGTTTTTATTCAAAATCCTGGCTCTGACCCTTGCCAGCTGTGTGACCCTTGGCAACTTCTATAGCTCTCTAAACTTTTGTTTTCTCATTGAGAAAATGGAGATAACAATAGATAGTATCTCACAGGTAATTGAGATAGTAGTTGCAAGGCATTTAACAGCATCTGGTATGTAAAAGTATTCAAATATTAATTTATTAACAGCAGACTTTTTGTACTTTCAGTATTTGTTCTAGCTACAGGAATCTTTTCCATAAAGACTTATGCTTGAGTTTTTATACTTACTATCAGGAAGAAGACTGTGAGAAAGCATTCTTCAAAATGGACAATGTACTTATAGATGACAGAAGAATACATGTGGATTTTAGCCAGTCTGTTGCAAAAGTTAAATGGAAAGGAAAAGGTATGTTGGTTGGTCTTCCTTTGTTTCTGTTCTGCTTTGCATGCTTGCATATATAGCCTTTGACTTAATGCTTTTAATTAGGAGAAATGTTAATTGATGTAATTCCTGCCATTTATGGTTTTACAAAGCTGCTGTCTAGAGTCTAAGGTAGAGGGATTGTGTATGTATATGTGGGTGTATTTTAAACTGATGGAAAATATCTATATTTTCTATGTTTGTCTGTATTATGAATTACTTTTAATTACCCACTACAGACATGTGTTTCCAGAGTAATTATTATGACTTTATGGTAGTTTCATTTTTTAGATGCAAAAGTCTTTAAAAATTGTTTTTTTAATTTGTTTGTTTTAGTTGTCATATGGTACAAAATTGAAAAGGCCCATGAAAAGGTAGTAGATAAAAGTCTCTTCCACTCTTGTTCCTCATTTATCTGATTTCTCTTCCCAGAAGTAATCACCATTATGTTATTTTTTTTTCTCTCCTTTAAAAAAGGAAAACACAAAGGATGTAGGCTATATGTATTGTTTCTGTACCTTATATTTTTCATTTAATAGTTTATCTAAGAGATCAGTTCATATTAGTACATAAAATGCTGATTTATTCTTTTCAGTGGCTGTTCAATCAATGTTCTGTTGGATGTATGTACCATGATTTATTGAATCAGTCCTATTAATGGACATTCAGGTGCTTCTAATCATTTATTCTTCTCGGTGCTGTGTATGTAGTACTATGTACTATCTGTACCTATGACATTTCCCACATACGTCAAATAAATTCCTGGTAGTGGCATGTCAGACTTAACGTTGGGTCTGTTGTGTGCTGAAATAATACAAGGTTTTGACTTTTGATGCAAGGTTCAGTTTTGGTAGTTATTCACATGTAATGCTTTACTAGGAATTTTAGTATTACTTTTTCAGTAACATTTCTGTATTTCCTATGATTGTAATGAACATTTTTTTCCCCTTTAATAAGAAAGAAATAGAGTGCACTATTTGGTAGTGAAGTGATGAATTGGTAGATTGTGTTACCTATGGGAGTTCAGAGAAGGGAGAAATAATTAATGAATTGAGTATGCAAGGAAAGCCAGTGGAAGCCATGATTGCTATAGAGAGAGAGAATGACTTGCATGTACTATTAGTTTCTCCCATGAAACCTTCCCTATTACTAGAATACATGACTAGTTTTGACAGTGCTATCTGTTTTAAGAGATTAGTGAAAACAAAATTGAAGTACTGAGATATGTTTTTCACATGTGATAATTGCAGCTTTGTGAACAAAACATCAAGTAAGTATATTCAGGAACAATTGAGCTGCTGGTCTAATGTGGTGTAGCTCTGGTCCAGTAATACTGCCAAGTGGCTCATTATATGGGGCTTTTTTCCAAAGAGCTAATTTAATTTTGTCATTTGGAAAATGTATAAAGCAAGTATTATTATAATTCCTCATTATGGTTAAGGAATTTGAGGCATAATTTTGTGACATGATTTGCCCAGAGTCACATATACTGATGATTTAGACCCTAAATCTAGTTTTTTTCTCTCAATTTTGTCTTCTTCCCAACCCATCCACCCACCAAAGAAATGATACTACTTTCCAAAATTGTTTCAATATAGTTTATTTTATTTAGATAATTTTTAAGTGAAATTTTTCCTGAAATAAAATATGTAGGGGAGAGAAATACTTTGGTTTCGAATGTGCTGTCATAACATACAACTTATTAATTTCAGTTAATTTTAAGATTTTTTTAATATATTATTGATTCACATTTTAAAAATTGAATGTATGTTATGTACCATTCACAGTACTAAGTACTTTCCCTTATAGTCTTATTTAATGATTCCAACAGTTTTGTTAAATGTTGGTATTTTCAGTTTATAAATGAAGAGAACGAGTTGCAGAGAACTGAAGTGTCCTTCCTAGGACCTCCCACTATAGTCAAAATTTGAATCTAGAACCTCTCACTTTAATCCATTGCCCTTTCTATTTTACCATAACTGTCTCATCCATAGTGAAACTCCTAATGGCAGGCACATGGTAAATCATTTTTCAGTGACAAATTGATGCTGTTAGTACTGTTATCAGTTATTTTAACTCTTGTAGTAGTGTGTTTCACATTTATGTGAAACATTGTTTGCTGGCTGTTTTTGTTTCCAAAGGCTCTGGAATTGCTAGGTAGATTTGTCTTGTCTTTGATGCTTACTTCCTTTATTCATTCCCGTTTCCCCCTTCCTTTAAAAATCTGATAATCAAGGTGTACGTAAGATTCACAAAACATCTCTCTGTGTACCTCCAGTTTGCTTTACTTGTACATGTAATCTAGGACCCTTCTATAGGAAGCCTTCACACAAGAAACATTTCCTGGCAGTAGGTGGGGATAGGAAAGGCAGGTGAGTTAGTGGGTCTGACACGTGGATGTGAACTGAATCCTCATCTAGTAGGAGACTGGGCTTGAGAGTAGTGAGGCTGCATAAATGCTCTTCTTTTTTGGTCCTGCCAGTGTAGGCTAGTCAGGATGTAACAGTAGGTCCTATTTTCCTGAAGGGGTTGTTAGTTTCATTTTAAGCACTTTCAGGGAATAAAGGTGCCCCTAAACCCGAATTTCAAAGCAGAGACAGTTTATCTCTGGTGCTCTCACCAACACTCTACTCTCACGTCTCTTTAGTGAACTACATGCATCCTTCTGTCTCTTATCTGCTTGGTGCTCTGTTGAGATTTGGGGGCAAAGTATCTCTTTGTACAGATAAGAAGTCTTTAAAGTCTTGCTTCTTCCAAACTTATAAATCTTTCAGATCTCCAACTCAGGTCCCAAATCCTCAATTTTCCATTGCACTTAATGTTCTCTTGGACTTAATGACTCGATTAAACACTGCGTTATTTGTGTGTAATTTATTAGAAAGTTTAATGTTGTAATATTCACATGTATCATTAGGTGGCAGTATATGGCTGCCTAGCAAAATGAGTATCTGATTTCAGTTAAAATAGCAACGGAGATTAAGTTACTGTGATTCTTTTGTTCTCTTCTCATTGTTTTTGAGTCACCCCGTGTATGCCAGTAATAAAATAGCTCTTATACCTTTCATAAACTAATTACAGTTCTTGTTTAATTGGGCGACTTTTCTTACTAAACTCTTTTTCTTTCTCAATAAATAGGTGGGAAGTACACCAAGAGTGATTTTAAGGAGTATGAAAAGGAGCAGGATAAACCGTCTAATTTGGTTCTGAAAGATAAAGTAAAGCCCAAACAGGAGTATCCTTAACAAGAATCAGCCAATATGTATTGACCATCCTCTATGTGTAGAGTACTGTGTGATGTGTTATAAAAAGTTAGAAAGTTTATAGAAGATTCCTGAATCCAGATTGTTTGTGAAGAAATGACTTAGTTTTTTTATCTCTTTTCAATGTCTTATGTATACTTTGCATTTTTTTTTTTAATTAAAAATTTTTTTGGCATCTGGCTGGTATGGGGGATCATACTTTGCTTTTTCATTATTCTCTATTATTTAGAAAAAGTTAGAGTTGAAAGAAATCTTTAGCCTAATTCTTTGTATTCCCACTCTTAGGTTAAGTACCTTCTTACTTATCATATTCTCAGATCTTCAGCTAAGATTTGTATTTCTGTATATAATTGTAATGTTTTAAATTCCTCATAATCAGACATTTGTTTATTATAGCTAGGCTAGATCTTTTGTGCTAACCATTCTCTTATGTTTAACTTCCTTATCTGGATAACAAAATACTGTAGTTTTGTACAGGATTAGGTTGCTTCTTTCTGTGTAGTATATTGTCATCTTAGCAACAAATATTTATTGGGTTCTTATTGAATATAAGCGTTGACTTTTATAGGATTAAAAAGAAATCATCGACTTGAATTCATGTTCTTCCAAGTTTTTTTTTTTTTTTTTGTCTTTTTTCCGTGTCCGGCAACGGATCGCAACCCTCAGTGTTGCCCCCGTACCGGACCGGGGACCGGCGACGGGATCGCAAGCCTCGGCATTGCTCCCGCGCCTCGCTCAGCCAGTGAGCGGGAGCCGGTCTGTACGTGGGATCCGAACCCTCGGACGGGAGCGCTGCCGCGCTTCCCAAGCGGGCGCACTATCCAGTGCGCCACCGGGCCGGCCCGTGTTCTTCCAAGTTTTAAGTTGAGATAAGTAAAAAGCAATGAAACATACTGTTTATATTATGTCATTTTAATTTGCTTGCTGATTTTTCCCATCATAAATCTATCACTCCACACATTGAACAGGTTATTTCTTTTGTGGTTCTTTCTGGTAAATGATGTCTTTGTTTCCTAGTTTCTGTTGGTGTTTCAGGGATTCTCTTTTCCTGTGCTATGTAGACATTTCTTTCCCAAGTATTAATCAAGGAAAGATAAATATTGGGCTGACCTGTTATTTATTCGTGTTTTAAAATGTGTTGATTGTCTGCAGTGCATAAAGCATTGTGAGGTGTTAGAGCTGGATAAAGTCTGAAGGACACTGACAAAATCAGCTTGAGGAGAGGCTTTCACATAGGACAGACCAAACAAGATACTGTGATCTGTCATTTAAGAGATACAGTTTATATTTTAACCTAATATAGTAATACATTATCTATTCATTCACACTAACACTCACTTGAAACAAAAATTTCATACAATATTTTTATTAGACGTCATGCACTCTATTTTCTATTTTGTATTATTAAAAAAATGCTGGTTGTAACCCACTAAATAGATTTTGCACCTCACTGATGGATTGTGATCATTGGTTTGAAAAATACTGCTCTAAAGCATTTTAGACAGAGGGAGCAGCATGTGCAAAGCACACATTAAGATGAAATCATAGGCAAGGGCTATTGAATTTGTATCTGACAGAGGAGAAGTTCCTGAAGATACTCTGGAAACAGTGTGACATAGTACAAAGGAGAAAAAGAAGTTGGAGATAATGGTATCAGCCCAGGATGGTATGGGCTGACTAGCCATCTTGTGAAAAGCCAGAGGAACAGTGTTTTCCTGTTTGATCTAATGTGAAAGTGAGACACCCCTGAGGAAAGCATTGAGCTGTGACATTGTGAAAGTGGACATGAGTCTCTAGTCCTGAGGAAAGTGAGTCTGCATTTACTCCGGTCCCACATAGAACTAAAATAGCTAGCTGTGCGTGTTGGGCTTCCTCATATGCTTTCTTTTGAAAACTACTATTCTAGCCCATGTCAACCTTCCTCAAAATCCATTTTAGAAGTTGAGATTATTTCCAGCAGCTGTTGTAATAGTTTTATATTTTCTCTTATTCTAAGGCATTATAATATATTAGAGAAAATACTTATCTCCAAATTAAAGCATTATTAAAATTTTTATAACACATTTATATGAAATTTCAAAAAGATTTACTCATAGTTCCACCACCTAGACAAATGATGCTTTTTAATTCTCCTTGGTCCTTTCAATCCTTTATTTTTTATGAAGTTTTATAAAATTATAATCACTGTAGTTGTTTGTTTCTTGGTGGCTGGCTGGTACAGAGATCCAAACCCTTGACCTTGGCGTTATAATACTGCTCTCTAACCAGCTGAGTTAACCAGCCAGCCCTAAGATTATAATCACTGTATATGCAGTTTTTGCTTCAAGCTTTTTTCACCTTTTTAAAAAAAGTTTATTTTTCTCATTGTACATGTTCGTGGGGTAGTTTGTTATTTCAGTACATGCATATATTGTATAATGATCTAATCAGAATTGTTAGTGTGTCCGTCACCTAAACATTTTTCATTTCTTTGGGATTATAACATTCAAGATCCTCCTTTCTGGCTATCTTGAAATATACAATACAATATTGTTAGCTGTTGTCATCCTAGAGCACCAGAATTTATTCTTCCCACTTAACTGTAGCTTTGAAACTCTGTGTTGGTCTACCAACTTCTCCCATGCCCTCTTCTCTCCTCCCCTTTTCATTTTAATTTTCATAAACACATGTTGAAGTGCTATAATATATTTATTTATTTATTTATTTTTATTTTATTTTATTTTCTTAAAAGATGACCGGTAAGGGGATCTTAACCCTCGACTTGGTGTTGTCAGCACCACGCTCAGCCAGTGAGCGAACCGGCCATCCCTATATGGGATCCGAACCCATGGCGTTGGTGTTATCAGCACCGCACTTTACCGAGTGAGCCACAGGCCGGCCCTAATATATTTAAATACATTTTTATTACTAGATATTTTGTTCCCACCTTCTGATATTAAAAATAATCCTATTGTGTATATCTTTGTTCATTTAATTTTTTATAAATTCTTATTAGTATTTAAACATGATAATTATTGATATGTATTGCTAAATTTCCTCCTACAGGACTGAACTAAAAGAAGGGTCATACAAATGTACCTGTTATCTTATATATCTTCCCTGTTATTAGGGCTTATAATATCTTAACTTTTTTCTGGTTAAAGATGTGCCTCATTTTCTAATTTTAAATTTTTTCATTATTGACAAATATCTCTCCTTATTTTTTATTGCTACTTATATTTATATTTCATTCGTGGATACAGTTTTATTTTCCTCTCTGTATTTTTTGCCTGCTAGTTGTTAACTGTTTATTTAAGATCAGGGTTCTTTCTGTTTCTCCTGACTACATAATGAAAGAAAATTTTACTTTTGTTTTAGAAATGTGTTATATGCTTTTGAAGTGCTTTTTGCTTTAAAAAGTTACCGTTAGCCTGTGACCTCCTTTTTTTTTTTTTTTAACCAGATTCTTACGTTTTAATGTCTTACCAGTGTTATTTCTCACCTTTGTCCTTAACTAATGGCTGCAGTGCAAAATATGATCTTATACTAGATGAGCAGGCAGAAGACTCAAAGTCAGGTCACTCACACACAAGTAAAAAACACAAGAAGAAAACCCGTCACTGCTCTGAGGAAAAAGAAGATGAGGACTACATGCCAATCAGAAATACTAATCAGGTACCTCTAATGTGCATACTTAGATATGGAGGAATAAATATTTTATCTCTTTGTAAATTACATCTGAACAGGTATGGGTGTGTTCCTAATTCGAAAATGTAGAATGGTTGCACTGGAGAATGGACTTTAATTTTTAAAAATATATATCACAAATTATAAAAGATTGATTTCGAAGTAACTTTAGTGGACTGTATACTTCCACATTGTGAAGCAAGAGTGATTTCCATACCTATAAATACTCATTCATTTATTCCCATCAAAAACAAGCATGGTGATGCTGAAAAAGTTCTTCTCATTTGTCAGCTTAATTTATCAGCAAATGTTATTTTGTTTAATAATGTTATTAATAAATGTTTATTAATGTTATACTTACAGCTCTTGCCCTCCATATTGTATATGTGAAATAAAAGCAGCACTAGTAATTGATTTGATCATCCCCAAACCTCTCCTCAACAGCATGTTTTTTTCCTTTTTTTTTGGGGGGGGGGGTGTTATTTTTTATTTTTTAAGTTTATTATTATTTTTTTACATTCTAAGATGTTATTGCAGAGCAATTGTGGGGGAAGGGGAGAGAAAAGAAAAGGAAATAGGGTGGGAGAAGGAGGAAGGAGGGGGGATGTGGTTGAGGCCCGTGGTACCCCCCTCATTCCTTCAGGGGAGACAAGGGGGCTTCCAGCAGAGGCTCGGTTGTTGCTGGGCTAGATGCAGATGTCATGGGGTTGTGGCTGAAGCCGTTGGTTCCCCACTGGCCTGGCTTGTGGCGCTTCCTACAGCAGCCTGACATGGCTGTCATTGGGCTGGTTGTAGATGTTGTGGGGGGCATGGCTGAGGCCCCTATTCCTCCCTGCTCCCAGGCTTGGGAGGCCAGGGGCCTTCCAGTCCTTCTAGGTTTTGTAGGTCCTCTTTGGTGGTGTTAGACCTTTACTAGTTAATATTAGACTTTGTCTCTGATCTGTGGATAGTTTTTTCTTTCAGTTCTGTGTTGGATTATTTGCTGTTCCTACCACTTAAATTTTGCAATGGAACTAATTTGTTGTCCTTTGTTTACCTCTAAAATGGAGGAACTTCCTGTGGGGACCAGCACTTGAGCCCTGTAGTTGAGCTAAATTGTTGCTTTGCTGCTGATTCCCTGGGGAAGGCTTTTAGTGCAGCTCAGGTTTTAACTGTTGACTTTTGGCTCTCATGAGGTCTGGTACACCTGGGTTGTGTGGAAACTCTGGTCTGGACCTGAGTCTTTTCAGCAAACTGCACTTCCTGCAGATCTGTATTCCTGACCAGTCTACACTGAGTGGTCCTGCAGTGATTGGGGGACAGATTAGCTGTCCATGCTGTGCCCCATTGTTTCTCCAGTGGGCCCGTCTCCCCCACCACCCATACTCCAAACACTTCCATGGTATGGGTCGTGCATTGGTCCCTTGCAGTGACTCACTGGCCTCTTGAGTGGCTCCTTTTTCAGTTGTTGTGGCTCCTGTGTGGGTCCATGGGAACCCTGTTAGTGGTCTTGCTGGCCTGAGGACCACCAAGGCCCTCTTCTCCCCTTTTGCATCCAAGCAACTTCGTATGAAGGGCACAGCTGTGGCTTTTGCCAGCTCTTGCTCCATGTACTCACCAGCTCCAGCTTGGAAGTGGCCAGGATTCGAAATGGTGGGAGCGATCCTTTCTTTTTCTCTCATCGTGGTTTCTCCTGCCTTCATGAACTCCATAGGTCTCTTCTTCTCTTCCCCTGAGCGCTAGCAGCACCAACTTGGCTGTTGTTGCTTTTTGATAGTTGTAAATTGGTTGATTTGTGGGAGAGAGTGATGCTGAGGACCATCTGTTTTGCCATCTTGACTGGAATCCTGAACAGCACATTATCTAAAACAATGATATTAAAAGTACCCCAAAGAAAATTGATTAAAAATAGAAGAAATCATTTCCAACCTGCATTTTGGCTCTCGGTTGAATAAAAGCAAATTATATCATAGCACTTGCTTTCGTTTTACCACACTGAAGACATTTAAGCTGGACCCTGGTGGGCGACAAGGATTTCAGTAGGCTGAAGTGAGAAGTGAAGGACTCGAGATGGTGAGAATATCAAGCAAAGACACAGAAATGGAGAAATGTAGTATGATAAGGCAAAAAAGGATTTGCTCTCAGGAGATCTAGGTTTACATCTCTATACTGCTAGCCATTGAAATGACCTGGACAAGCTCTAGTATGATAAGGCAAAGTAAAGGATTTGCTCTCAGGAGATCTAGGTAAACATCTCTACACTGCTAGTCATTGAAATGACCTGGACAAGCTCTTTAACGTTCTGAGCCACAGTTCCTCCTTTGTGAAACTGAGATAATATTTCACAGACATGTATTTAAGATTAAGTGAAACAAAATGTATGCCAACATATTCTACACTGGCTATTATTGTTACTACTTCTTTTACTATTATAGTTAAATTACTGTTTTAGAGTTACTTGGAATAGTTTAGTTTTTCTCTGTGGTTATGCCATTAACTAAATTCATATTTCAGTTTGTTTCATTTTCTTTTCAGTGTTTAAGGATTGCTTTAAAAATTTTTTGTTCTGTAGTTTTGAAAACTATTTATATGTTTCCAAAGTGAAATCTATAAAGTGGTACATTCAGAGAACTTAGTTTCTGTCCTTGTCCCCTCCACCTTTCCTTCTTCCTCCCTCTAGGTAACCATTTTATGTGTTTTATGGTTTATCCCTCATTTAAAAAAAAATTTCAGCAAATACTTTATACATATATTATATATAAATATATTCTTAGGGCCGGCCCGTGGCTCACTCGGGAGAGTGCGGTGCTGATAACACCAAGGCCCCGGGTTCGGATCCCATATAGGGATGGCCGGTTCGCTCACTGGGTGAGCGTGGTGCTGACAACACCAAGTCAAGGGTTAAGATCCCCTTACCGGTCATCTTTAAAAAAAAAAAAAAATATATCTATATATATATCTATATATATATATATAGATATAGATATATATATATATATATATTCTTAGCACCCTATTTTCTAGATAGCATACATTCCTCCTCCTTGCTATCATCCAGCAGAGGTACAATCTCTTCTTTACATAGTCCTTCAGCTATTTAAAGATTACCCCCAGTTTTTAAGCTGTGTATCTTTGTCAGTTCCTTCAGTATTCCTCACATGAATCAGCTGTAATAAAAGCAGTAAAGCTAACATCTTTTTTTTTTGTCCTTTCAATGTGAGGTATGTTCTTTTACTCCTATTTCACAACAAAGAAAGTGAAAACAAGGGCCGGCCTGTGCTCACTTGGGAGAGTGTGGTGCTGACAACACCAAGTCAACGGTTAAGATCCCCTTACCAGTCATCTTTATAAGAAAAAAAAAGAGTGAAAACAAAGAAGGTTGTTACTTGCCGATAGTTTTACACAGTTACTAAATAATGGAACCACAATTTAAATTCAGACTTGTACTCCTAACTACTCTTCTGTTGCTCTTATCTGGACAATTTTCTTTCCTAAGTCCTATTATTATTCTAATATAATTTGTCCCATAGTACAAATTCCAATGTGATCTAACAGGAATGTCTCCTCCTTCTTAATTTTTATACTATGTTTATTTAGTCTAAAACCACCCCAATCTTTTTTAATGGTGGCTGTTATCACTTTCCTATGAATATTTAGCATGTTTTCTACTAAAACACCTTAATTCTCCTCCCATCTGCTGCTTTTAGCTACAGCTTCTCATCGTGCACTTGTAAATGGAATCTTCAATGAATTTATGCCTGAGATAAACATCGGTGTGTTTGAGATAATCATTGTTCTTCAAAAATTCAAAGACTGGCTGCATTTTAAGTCTGGTCCCCAGTACCCCCTTTTTGAATCTTTTTGATCCTGCTGTTTGGTTACTTAAAACTTTGTAGTAGCAAATATCCTTCTCTTTTGTTTGGGGAATGCTGTTAGTATTTTATAAAGAATTTTAAGGCAGTTGGAAACTATAAAATTGTTAGATTCTGAAAACAATAGTCTCTTAGCTGTTTTTCCCCTCAAAATGAATTAAAGTAAATATTTTTTGATTTTATACTTTGATTTAATAATATAGCTACATTAATTTTCTCTTATTTTCTTTTCTTTTTAATAAAACTCAGAATCAATATTTAAGATTTCAGTGAGCCCCAATTTTTTTGTAGTATTTTGATTATCTTCCTTTTGATTTCAGTCTCAGAAATATAATCATTAAAGGAAATTTTCACTACTAGGTAAATTTCATATGTAGCTCAATTTTCCTATTTGTTGGTATTTTGTTTGGTGAGTTTGGTTTCCTAAGAATGTTTTAACTTATTTTTTAAAATTCTTTTTTATTGAATGACAGACAACCTGACTATTCAATTCGAAAACTTCTCTGTTTAATTTTTCCATCTCATGTCTTAATTCCAGAGATGTTTTTTGTGTTATTGAGGTTTGGGTTTTACTGGGGTTGCAGGAAATGAGTACTCAGCTGCGGCTGAGCAGTGTTCATACTGGTTGTCAGTCCTCCACTGGGGTTTTCATAGTGTTTGTATTCTTGTAATTTGGGACTCTATTTGTGCTGTCATTTTAATGATTTAAAGGTTTTTTTTAGTGACTTAGATTTAACTACATATTTGATTTAGTCCCAGAGACCTGAGCAAGGATAGCTTTTAGTTAGATTAGACCTTTTTTGACTGCTTTACATCACGTTATTTGCTAGGTTCAGTTGATTGGTTTAAATTGGCAGTTTTGTGTGTTTTTTTCCTTTCCTTTTGTGCCACATGCTAGTTTAATCACCTTATGTCTTAAATGTATAAAACAATAGAATTTTTAAAAGTCCATATTAGAAAGGACTTAGACTTCATGTGATTCATTTCTCTCACTTTAGGTAGGAAGATACTGACCCCGCTGTGGCCCTTAAGCTTTTGTAGTTTATTGGGAGACCTAGAAATTTAACATTTATTTCGACTCATTCAGATGTTGGTTTTTGTTTTGTTTTGTTTCATTATCCTATACCACCTCTCCTTTTCAATTTTGTATGTCAAATTACTGGTAAATTACCTGCAACCTATGCAGATCTCTTGAGTCTCTGTTTCCTTATTTCTAGAATGAGGATAATATTGCACTCCTAAAGCACAGTGCTAGCACAAACTTAGAGGATCTGCTCTTACATGGCTTTATTCAGCCACCTCAACTTTTCTTCTATGTATATGCAGTGCTAATTCTTCCTTGCTTCTCAGTTTCCATTTACGCTACTTCCCTTAGCTGCCTTGCAGCCAATCCAGACCCAAATCCACTCATCTTTTGAGGCTCATCTCAAATCCTAACTTTTCCATGAAACCTTCCCTAAGAAATCTAACCTCAGGATACTTCTTGTTGGACACATCTCCTAAATGGCAAAGATCATTTGAACCCAGAACTGCCTTACTTCAAAGAGATAAGAGTGGTTTTAAAGTTTCAATCCACTTCAGCTTTTCGGCTTCCTCAATTTTTTTAGAGAAGTAAGTACTACGTAACCTTTCATCTCTCATTTTATCATTTATTTTAAACTTTACTCAAAGCATTAATTAATTAATTAATTATGACCGGTAAGGGGATCTTAACCCTTGTCTTGGTGTTGTCAGCACCATGCTCACCCAGTGAGCGAACCGGCCATCCCTATATGGGATCTGAACCCATGGCCTTGGTGTTATCAGCACCGCACTCTAGTGAGCCACGGGCCAGCCCCTCAAAGCATTTAAATGCCTATTGTATAATAATGTGCTGAGGGTTTTATGGAATTATACATTAGCTGACAGTCTCTGAAAAAAGTTTATTGTCTGAACCAATGCAGAAATAAGTATACTAGGTATACAGACAGAAAAGTACGTACAGATATTTACATTTTGTATATGTAACAGCACAAAAAATTCATTTATCAAGTAATGTCATATTTTGCTAGAAAATAGTTGGTAAAGGGCTAAACCAAATACCTGCTCATTTTCTTTACCTCATGGATTCTTATAGAATAACAAGAACTACTGGGATTGTGTAGAAAATTGTAAATCAGTTTATAATGTTGTATTCCACAAACACAGTAATTTTAACGGTCACATTGGATCTATTTTCACCTACTGTAAACTTTGTGCCAGGCATAAGTAAGATACAGTATCTAGACAGTATGTGGAATCATATTCATTTGCTTAAAACCTAGTCCTTAACCATGGGTATCCATCAGTCTGGATTTTAAACCCTGACATTTATATCTACTGTAATCATATCTTTGGTGATAAAGTTGGGACCTTTGAGAGTTCAAGCCTTAAAATTTTGCCTTTTCTCTCAGCAATAAGAAAGTTGAATTTTACAAACGATGTCTTGAAAGAGCATTGGCTGTGATTAGATTTCAGCCCTTTTCTGAGATACTTGTTTTAATTAGTGTAGGACACATACAGAAACAGAATTGTTAAGTTAGTCCTCTTCTATGTGGGAAAATTACTACTACTATTTAATAATTAAGAATAGAATTAAATGTTCCCATTTTATTGTCTTTGGAGCAATAAATTATTTCAGTGTTTCTTAACTCATTTTTAAGAATGAAAATAATTTTAACAAGAACATATATCAGATTTATTAAACATGGAAAATTTATTTGAAGATCCGGAGAGGAGCTGTTATAAAATAAAACACTTGAAAAATTAATCTCTCAGACCAAAGTATGCAGTATCTATTTTCTTTACATTTCAGACTGATTGACTTGGCTAAGACCTCTTCCTGCTATGCTATTTATATTATGTCTTCCATATTGGATTCTTATGGGAATTTTAGTAGTTTTATTTTAGATCAATGATGGAATCATATTTTAGGGGAGATGGAAAGGTGACTACTATACATAATCAGAATTCTTGGTATTGCAGTGTTGCTCTAAAAACTTGTTCTAATTTCAGTTGGGCTATTTCACCTCCATGTTTTTGTATATAATCCTTCAGTTCAGCCGAAATATTAGATACAAAGCAATAAGATTGATAAGAAAAATGGTTAAATGTTTTTCTGAATTATTTTTGTTTTTTAATTACAAGATTCTTGGCATTCGTGGTAGTGTTCAGATTGGAGCTGTTACAACATCTTGCTAATGGTGAACTTTTCTAAGTTTTATTAATTGACAGTGCCCACAAAATGATTATTTTACTGATTCACTTGTAACTCTCTCTTCATTTCTTTGACAGGATATCTACAGGGAAATGGGGTTTGGTCACTATGAAGAAGAAGAAAGCTGTTGGGAGAAACAAAAGATTGGAAAGAGAGATCGACCTCAGAACAGAAGTCGTAGCCGATCTCGAGAAAGGGATGGTCACTATAGTAACAGTCACAAAACCAAATACCAGACAGATCCTTATGAAAGAGAAAGGAGTAAAAAGAGAGACCGAAGCAGAAGTCCAAAAAAATCCAGAGATAAAGAAAAATCTAAGTACAGATGAAAGATGAAGAATTAGAAACGAGTGGCTAACATATTTACTTTTGTTTAACTTAGAATATCAGGAAAGCAGATGTTCAAATTTTGTGTCAAAGCAGTTAAAGACTCTGCTTGTTCTTTTTTTTTTTTTTCCACACTAGGGTTATGGCCCTTTCAGATTAAAACTGGTTTTTATAGGCCACTGAAAGACAAGAGTTCGATATTTTCTTTGTACATTTTTTTTTTTTTTTTTTTAAGATGACCGGTAAGGGGATCTTAACCCTTGACTTGGTGTTATCAGCACCACGCTCAGCCAGTGAGCAAACCGGCCATCCCTATATGGGATCCAAACCCGTGGCCTTGGTGTTATCAGCACCGCACTCTCCCGAGTGAGCCACGGGCCGGCCCCTTCTTTGTACATTTTTTATACTAATTTTATTGTTATGTATAAATGGTAGTCTTCATTTTTAAAGTTTTTCTCATTTTCACTTTTTTTAAATAAAGTATTCCATACTACAAAAATACATAAACATGTATATATAAGATTTAAGGAATAATACGTATAAATATGTGTACCCATCAGCCAGCTTAAGAAATAGAATATTATCTACATTTTAGAAGTCCCTTATGTGCCCTTTTCCTGTCGAGTAATTATTATTCAGAATTTTATGTTTATCATTTTCTTGCTCGTTATAGTTTTCCAACATTTGTGTTTATCCCTAAATGGAATGTTGTTAATTTTGTATGTTTTTGAATTTATATAAATGGAATAATGTATGTTTACTTCTGTGACTTTCTTTTTTCAATTTAGCATTTTTTGAGAGCCATTTATTTTTATTGCTGTATAGTATTTTATGAATATGCCACACCTTATCCATTCTTCTGTTGGTGGATGTTTGTGTTTTGTTTGTTTATTTTTGTTTTTACTATCACAAACAATGCTGCCATGAACATTCTGTATCTAGGAGTGATATTTCTTGGTCGTGTGGTCTGAGGATCTTCATCTTTACAAGATAATGCTAAATTATATTCTAAAGTGGTTGTGCCAGTTTATACTCCTCCCAGCACTATGTGAGTTACCTTTGTTTCACGTATCTCCAGCATTTGTTAATTTCAGACTTAAAATTTGGCCAATCTAATGAATGCTAAGTGGTATCTTACTGTGATTTCCAGCAAGAAGACTACTACTATTATTATTATTATCTTTATTCTTCTATGTGTAAGGTGTCATTTTTTTTTTCTGGCTGCTCTTCAGGTTTTCTCTTTATCACTGGTTTTAAGCAATTTGATTGTGATGTGCTCAGTGTAGTTTTTTTCATGCCTCTTCTGCCTTGGCTGTTTAACTGTGGGTTTATGGTTTTGTCAACTTCAGAAATTTTTTGGCATTGTTTCTTCAATTATGTTTTTCTCTCCATCTGCTCCTCTCCTCTTCTGAGGTTCTAATTACTTGTATATTAGGTCACTTGAGGTTGTCTCATAGTGTACTAATGCCTCATTCAGCTTTTTTTAAAGTCTTTTTTTCTCTCTGTTGCATGTGGGTAGTTTCTATTGCTGTGTCCTCAAGTTCATTAATCTTTTCTTCTGAAGTATCTAATCTCCTTTAATCCCATTCAGTGTAGTTTTTTTTTTTTTTTTTTCCCTACCCCAGACATTATATTTTTAATCTTTAGAAGTTCCATTTGGGTTTTCTTTTTTATCTTCCATGTCTCACCTTAACATGCTCATGCTTTTCTCTTTGGGGAACATCTGGAATATGTATTTATAATAACTTTTAATGTACTTGCCCATTCTATCATCTGTATCATTTCTGGTCTATTTATTGATCTCCTCCCATCCCATTACTGGGTTATAATTTCCTTCTTTGCATGTCTGGTAATTTTTGTTTTTTACATTGGGTCCTGGAGTTTTTTTGTATTCCTTTAAATATCTTGAGCTTTGTTTGGGGACATAATTATATTACTTGGAAACAGTTTGGTCCTTTCCTAGCTTGCTTTTAAGCTTAGTGAGATAGGAACAGAACACCCTTTAACCTAGGACTAATTTGGCCCACAACTGAGGTAATACCCTTCTGAATAATCTTCCCTATTGTACGATTTGTCCATTCTGGCCATTGGGAGCATAAACTATTCTGAGCCCTATGTGAACTCCCAAATTGTACCTCCCGTGCCTTTCTGGTGGTTCTTTCCCAGCCTTGGGTAGTTTCCTCACATATGTACACTGATTGGTATTTAGCTGATGACTCAAGGGGAACACTCTGTAGCTGCCTCTCCAGTACTCTGCCCTACAAATTTTACCTTGGCTCCCCTAAATTCTCTATCCAGGGAGACTCCAGGTTTTTTTGGATTCCTTTCCCTAGCTTAGAGCTATGGCCTGGAAACTCCAGGTAATAAGCTTGGGCAATTGTAGGGCTTTCCTTGTTTGTTTTTCTTCTCTTAAGAGTAACTGTCCTGCACTGGCTGTTGTCCAATATCTGAAAAACTTTGTTGTATATGTTTTGTACAGGTTTTTTTGTTATTTCAAATGTAGAAATTAAATCCTGTCTGTTACTTCATTTTGGCTAAAGTGGAATGGAAGTCTCATTATTTGAATTTGCAGTTCCTAAATGCTAACAAGGCTGAGCATCTTTTCATATGTATTATATTCATTCCTAATTGCACTCTGTGGAAAGCTTGTTTCATGTCTTCTGCCCATTTATAGTAAGTATTGTCTTTTTCTTATTGATTTCTTTAAGGAGTTTGTTAAAAAATAGATTGTGGATGCTAATTCATTTTTACTATTAGACATTGCAAGCATCTCTTTTTGTGGCTTGTCTTTTCTTTCACCTGTTGATGCCCTTGGATGAGCACAGGTTTTAAACTTCCCCCCAACTTTTTAAATGAAAATTTTCATACTTACATAGAAAAACAGAAAATGATGAATACATTCCACCCAGATTCAGTAGTTAATAACATTTTGTTGTTGAACAATTTGAAAGTAAATTGAAAGCATCATGACATTTCACCTTTCAGTATTTCCCCATGCATTTTCTTTCTTTCTTTTTTTTTTTTTTGGTAAAGGATGACTGGTAAGGGGATCTTAACCCTTGACTTGGTGTTGTCAGCACCACGCTCTCCCAAGTGAGCGAACCAGCCATCCCTATATAGGGATCCAAACCCGGGGCCTTGGTGTTATCAGCACCACACTCTCCCAAGTGAGCCATGGGCTAGCCCTCCCCCAAGCATTTTCTAAAAAAGTGTCCTATGTCACCACAATACTGTTATCACAATTAAGAAAACTAACAATAACTCATTAGTATAATAATATGTGGTCTATATTCAAATTTCCGTGATTGCCATTTTTAGGTGTTGGTTTGTTTTTAAACCCAGACTCCGTCAAAGTTCATGCATTGCCTCTTGTTCTTGTCATTTTACTTTCTTTTAATCTAGAAGCGTTTCCTGCCCATCTCCCCATCTTTTTTATAATTTATGACATTGACTTTTTAAAGAGTTCAGGCTAGTTGTTTTGTAGAATGTTTGACCATTGTGCAATTATTTGATGGTATCTTCATGATGTCCTCTAGTCTATTTCCTATAAAGTGGAAATTAGGTCTAGATGTTTGATTTTCAGAATTAGGTTATACATTTTAGGCAGAAAATGTAAAATTTAGTGGCAGGTTTATCAGCCATTTCTCTTTTTTTGTGCTGTTTATATTTTATTTAAGAAATCTTTACCTATTCTGAGGTAATAAAAGATATTCCGTATATTTTGAAAGTTATAAAGCTTTGTGTTTTTACATTTAAATCTTTAATTCATATTGAGTTGTATGTGTGTATGAGTATGGTGTGATGGATCCAAATTCACTTTTTAGTTTGTTTTTTTTTTTAAACGTGAATATAACCAATTGTCAAAAGCACATTATTGAATAATTTGTCAATTCCCCATTGATCTACGATTCTGCCACTGTCATGTACAAGTTTCTATATATGGGTAGGTTTTGTTTCATGGACTGTCTGTTCCATTGGTTTATTGTCTATCCCAGGACCAGTACCAAACATATACATTTCTATTGCTTTATAGAAAGTCTTGATATTTAAACAAGTTTCCCCATCTGTTTTTTCATTAGGAATGACTTGGCCCTTTGTTTTTTGCATCTTTGGAACCAACTTGTCAAGTTTCCCAAAGATTTCTGTTGGGATATTAATTGCATTTGCATTGAAATTTTGAGGGAAAAAAATCATAATATTGAATCTCCTGACTCATAAAGCTAGTATATCTCTTCGTGTAGTTCTTTAACCTCTTAGAATTTTCCTAGTAAAGCTTTTGAACACCTTTTATTGGATTTACTCATAGTTTCCTTTCTTTTATGTTCTATATTGTAAATGTATCTTTTAAAAATATAATTTTCTGTTTGCTAACCTAAGAAGTTATATTTTTGGTTAATGCTATTATACCCAGCCATTTTGCTAAGCTCTTACATTTAAAATTTGTCTGTGGGAAGGGTTCAGATCCCCATACCAGCCAGCTGCCAAAAAACAAAACAAAACAAAAATACAACAGAAACAAACCCAGGAAAATGTATTCATGTTTGGGCCGGCTGGTTAGCTCAGCTGGTTAGAGCTTAGTGTTATAACACCAAGGTCAAGGACTCAGATCCCTGGACTGGCCAGCTGCCAAAAAAATGAAGTTAAAAATAAAATTTGTATGATTTTGGGGTCTTTTATGTGGACAATAGTATCGGCAAATAATGAGGTTTTTTTTCTTTCCTAATTTAAAAAATTATTTAAAAAAATATGTATGCATGTATTTGTGGTATTGGTATTCTTATAGTGCTAAAATTTCTAGTGTAGTGTTGAATAGTGATTTCTAGTGATTTTTAGCTGGCTGAAATTTCTACTACAGTGATGAACTTGGCCTATAATTTTCCTTTTTTGTATTGCTGTCATCTGACTTTGGTGTCCAGGTTATAGAATAACTTAGGGAGTCTCTCTGTCTCTCCCCATCCCCACCCCTTGGAAGAGAAGATAAAGATTTAAATTATCAGTCCCTTGAAAGTTGGATAGAGCTTGCCTGTAAAATTTTCTGAACTTTGTATTGTGTTTATTTTGTGAGAAAATTTCTTAACTATTGATTTGATTTCAGTGATTATAGAATTATTAGCCTTTCTGTGTTTTTAGTGTTAGTCATTTTTATTATTACATTTTTCTGGGAATTTTTCATTTTCATTGAAATTTATTGATGGAGTTGCTCATGGTTTTTTGTTCATAGTAGATTTTTACTATCCTTTTTTACCTTATTGATGAATGTCCTTATGTTTTAATGTCTCATAAATAGCATGTAGCTGGATTATTTTTATTTTAATCTTAACTTTAACTGTAGAATTTAGTGTATTTTGATGTTTACTGATAGATTTGAATTTATTCCTATCACATTTTGTGCTTTTTGTTTTCCCCCCCCCTCTTCCCCCTCATCTTTTTTGTTTGGGGGAATTACCTTTGAATTTTACCATTCATATTACTGTGTAATGTTCACCTTCTTGTGTAATTGAAAGTCGCCCTTCTTACAACTTCTGTGCTGTAATCATCCAATATCTTGGTCTTAGCTTGTGATTTTTAACCTTTAAATTAGACCTTGTGATTATTACTATTTTTATACAGATAGTAGTCTGTTTAGATATACTCACGTGTTAAACAGTTTCTTTACTCACCATTCTTCTTGCATCTCAGACTTTTCATCTAGATAAGTTTCCTTCTTTCTGAAGCATGTCCTTTGATGTTCCTTTAGTGACAACCTAAAGGATTGTTGAT